TTAGGCTGTAGTACCTATTTTGAACCTCAAGTACTAAATTTGAAACTATTCCGGTGAATAATGTCGCCAAAATCATCGAAATACCGCGTGATTACAACAGACAGACGGACATCGCTAAATCGACTTAGAATTTTACGCTGATCAAGAATATATATACTTTGTTGTGTCTGACATGAGTATTTCGAGGAGTTACAAACGGAATGACAAAGTTAATATACCCTACATAGTATGGTGGAGGGTATAAAAACTTGCAAGGAATGTTTTCAAAGAGTTGCTCGTTCCATTACGAACTCAAAGCGCTTAGCTGTAAGTATTACAAACTTTGGTTGAGCACCAACCTCTCTTGTTGCCTAATACTGCATGCTCAAGACTTCCACAACGTACCTCGTTTGTGGCAAAGTAAATGAATTCAAACAGTCAAGTAGATTGCAGTACATTTCTAATGATTGTGTATCCGGTTTAGATATGGGTTCATGTGAGACCAACCATATTGGTGTGTTTGCAATTATGGTTGTGTCTCCGTGTGTGTGTGTGTGTCTGACCAACAAACTATGTATGCATATGCCTATAAATATATATGTAGATTATTTGTTTAAACAATTTCATATATATATATATATATATGATAAAGTTTTATATTTTATTAAAAGTCCCACATGGTTGTTGTGGCAATACCTGTGAGATGGTAGTTTGGAAATGGGTAGAAGATGGCATACCTTCAGATATCAGAGGCAACTATGTAATATTTATCAACAAATTGTGAATGTGTGGGTGGGTGTGTGTGTGAACTTTTTACTTTCTCTAACTTGATGTACTTGGAATAACATTTTATTTCAAGTGTTGTTGAAATTAAATGACTTTGAGTGATTTTTGCTCAATTTAATAAAATGATAACCAGTAAGAAAAAGCCAACAGTCGGGCGGGGCCGACTACATAATACCCTACACCACTAGGCATATTTAGTAAAGCTCCCATAACAAAAGAATTTATTTAAAGTAGATCATACCACCTATCAACATTTGGATTTAGAGCAGTTATAGTTTGGTTTCAGAGCTAATGCATGGGAGGGAACTAATATATGGGAGACATATCCAATTCTGAATCGATTTTCACTAAATTTGACGGAGACATTTTAATATTTTATACCAAATAACATTTCTATAGAGTGAATGATATCACTTGGAGAAATATTATATTAAAACAAGTAAGCAAAGGCTACAGTCGAGCGGGGCTGACCGTTGAATACCCTACAACACTATAATAAACGATGCAGTTTATATAGGCGAGATACTCGAAAGAATTCCACAAGATATTGTGACAAATAATAAAAGAAAACCATCAGGTTTCGTTCTCTAATTTTCGAATAATAGCAACTTAAACTAATTTGCTCATTTCCAATTTATTGGTAGATCTTGCACGTAAATTGTCTTCCTAGATCTGGAACCAATATTTCCCAAAGACCTATAATCCCTCAGACGTGGCAAAAGATTAACATTTATTATTGGTTTTTGACTGAAACGCAACGAAATCAGCGTTAACGAAATAGTCAGAAGTGCGTCTTTCCTGTATTTGTGAATTCTCCTAAAAGTCACCGGAATGGACATTTTCGTATTTTGTCTACAAAAGTTGACAAACTATTTCACACATTGAATATTTTTGGGATGATCCAAAACTGCTTGGCTTTTGCAATGTCCGGTAACCCCCATCCAAATGTGCGTGAGGATCGGGCAATAATTACGACCTGTTGACAAATTTTGCAGTTTTTTGGTCCATTTCAACCCCTAAATATATGGCGATCATCTCCAAAAAGAGTAGGCTTCTATTCTGACCCTCATCTTATCCCCATGCAAAATTTCGTAAGGATCGGGCCATAAATGCGATCTGTATATGATATCCTGATATCCTAACTACTTAGTTTTGTTAGCTGTAGAAATATTACCAAATGTTTAATTCAAAATGAAAATATGCCAAAAATATGACAAAATTGAAAAAAAATATGAGAAAATTTTACAAAATCAATATTTTCATCTGTAGAGAGATATTTTTATGCGATTTTTTTAGACGTTTTTTCTTTCCTGCCGAGAGGCCATTCTGAATTAATGAGAACTGTCGAACTCAGTTCAGCCGTTCTTGACATATAAGAGATCTTTCAAGCATATCCTCTTTGATAGACATATATATCGCACATATTTTGCTATATATCCGATTTGTTGGATGTTAACATCAATGTAAAGATCAGAAGTAGCCTTGTCATGGCTTTGTGATTTAGCCGGGATTTAAAATATTCGCGGTTTAATGAAAAATTTTGAATTTTTTCAACACAAAAGATATGGTCTATTTTACCCGCTAAATATTATCCGATGACCACCCAAATTGGTAGGCTTCTTCCCTGCCCTAAACTCTAGCTACATGCGAAATTACGCGTCGATTGGTCTATAATTGCGACCTGTATAGCTACTGCAAAATCCGATATTTTTTCAGTATTTGGTCCATTTCAACCCTAAACATTTGGCGATCATCTCCAAAAGAAATAGGGTTCTATTCTGACCTCAACCTCAACCACCTACATTCTAAATTTCGTGAAGATCGGGCCATAATTGCGACCTGTAGAGTGATTACAAATTAACATGGACAGACGGACAGACGGACGGACGGACATACATAGCTAGATCGACTCAGCTCGGCGAGCTAGGAAGATCCATATATACTTTCCTATGTGGGAAACCAATATTTCGAGGTGTTACATAATTTTTGGCCCAATCAAACTTATAATACCCCCAACACATAGTGTTGTAGGGTATAAAAATATATATCGAAGCCGAGTTCCATAAAATGGGAACGTACATCCCAAATATCACACCATTTTGGCATCCCAAATTTCACTCCATTTTGGCTGATATTAGCCATTATTAGAACAATAAACCTGGAATCGTATTAAGGATATATATTGGAGCTATATCCAAATCTTAATCGTTCTCAATAAATTTTGCCAAAAGTATTTCTGAGCTCTATAAGATATCTTGTAACAATTCTGATTGTTGTGGAATGCATATTACGCATATGAGGGACTTAAAACCCCAAATCGGATGAAACATATATATGGGAGCTATAGCTATGTCTAAACCGATTTTCTCTAAATTTGATGTTCTTGCTTCTATACCGAATTCGGTCGGGTGTGCCAAAATTCAAGTCATTTGGACTGATATTAGCTTTTTAGTGCACAATTAACCCGAAATCGGATGAAAAATATATATGAAAGCTATATCCAAATCTGAACCGATTTTGACAAAATTTGAAACACTTTTTTCAGAGCTGTATCTGATATCAAAGACCATTGTTGTGGAATGCATATTACGCTTGTGAGGGACTTAAAACCCAAAATCGGTTGATTGATGATGAGATAAAAAATAACTGCAACCAAGTCAAACGCCATTATTTTTAAATTTTTTTTTAAATTTTATTGAATGAAAGCAAAAAATGTTGGAAATAGCATCAAATTTTAGATAAGTTTAGATTTGTTCGAATTGATCACCTTTGGAACGAATTATGGCCTCCAATGCTGTATTTTGGCCCATTCCCGGCGTAGCGCTTGCTTGAGGTGATCGACACTTTAGTATTTTTTAGTGCCAACCTCCAGACACAATAGTTCAACGGATTGGTATTTGGAGATTTTGGTGGCCATTGTGCGCTGGAAATGAAGCGAGAAACCTCATTTTGTAACCATTGGGTGGCGCGTGCTGAGTCCTGTTGGAATATCCAAGGTCCGCGGCCAAAATGTTTGCGTGCCCAAAGCTTTTATACACTCTCCAGAATACTTTCTCGATAATATTCGGCATTTATTCGAGCGGAGAGCAACCATCGGCTGTTATGGCGGCCCACACCATCACCATGGCCGGCGCTGGAGTTCTGGTGGCCAACCGAAAGTGCACATTTTCAGCTGACCTCTTTGGAAAGTAAACACGATCATTTTGCTGGTTTACAAACTGCTGGACAAGGAATGTTTTCTCATCGGAGAAACCAAATTCGGCAGTTCACAACTTTCGGCCAAGCGAAGCAACTCTTTAGCTCTTTTGAGTCTATTTTCTTTCCGTTGCGGTGTAATTTCTTGCACTTTTTGGAATTTCAATGGCTTTATCCCGAATTTGCCGAATGGAATATTGCGATAAGTTCAGCTCACGAGCCATATTTCGGTCACTGCGATGCGGGTTTCGATCAAGTCTCTTCTTTACTTTTCGAACTATTTCTCCTGATGTTGTTGTTTTCTTCCGTCCACTTCCTAGACGTCGGACTACGCTACCAGTATCACGGGAACGAGCGATGGTACGAGACACGAAATATTTATTCATATTTAAATGCTGGAATTCTCTAACGTTAACCACTTGTGGTTTTCCAGCCAAATATAAAGAAATCACCCTATCACGCTGGAATTCCATCACAAATAACTTTTTTTCTGCTTTCGCACGTTTATAAGCGATATAATGAGCTGTCACTGGAATAAAGTTAACAACTGTCGGACGAGTGGCTTAGAAATGACAGCATTCTGAATTTTGTTGCAGTTTTTTCATCTCACCCTGTATATGGGAGGTATAGCTATATCTGAACCGATTTTCTCCAAATTTGATGTACTTGTTTGTAGACTAAATTCGGTCAGATGTACCAAAATTCTGATCCGATTATCACTAATGCCAATAGGGGTCGTTCTTGGGCAAAAAAATATTGTTTGCAAAATTTCATCTCTATCGTATAATAAATGCGACCTGCATTTTTTTCACAAGAATACATGGACGGACGGACTGATATGCCTAAATCGACTCAGAAAGTGATTCTATGAATATTCTCAGAAGTAACTATGGGTCTATCTCGCTTCCTGCTCCCTGTTACAAACGAATGCACAAAGACATAATACCTTTACACACTATGTGGTGTAGGGTATAAACATTTTGTTAAACGAGTATATATCTCTAATTTGTTTTTAAATTTTCGATTTTTATTTTTTGCAGAGATGCCTGCCATGATTCATGGACTAATCTAAGATTATCGCCCATGTTTGGTTGTATATGTCCCAATAATCATATGAAGAAACGCTGTGATCGTATATTTAATATAGTTAATCACAATCCGTGTGTGGGTAAGTTGAAATATGTTCATAAAAACAATGAAAAACAGCAGCAATAACACAAAACACTAAAAGCGCCAAAAAAAAAAACAGATTAAATAAAAACAAAACACATTTCAATACACTTTCAGGATACACTAGTCATTTCCGAAAAAAAAAAAAACAAAATCCATAAAAATTTAAATCGAACAAAATAAAAGTGACCTTTAAAAAATTTTACACATTTTTCAAAAAAAATTTAAATAAACATTTAAAAGAAGACCTAAAAAACACTTAAGATTAGAAATACAATAAAAACCAAACAGAAGAGAATATTTTTATGAACGTTTTTAAAATGTGTTCTTATGTTAGTTTGTTTTTTTTATTTATTAATTATTATTTCTATTTAAATTTTATTAAATCGTTTTTTTCTTGTGTTGTCGTCATTATGTGTGTACATTATCCCCTACTTGTGTTGTATTTTTTTTTTTGGTTTTAGTATTATTATTTAAAAATCACTCGCCTAAACTAAAAGTAAAAAATCAAAAAATAATGAACTATCAACTATACGCACGCTTCTGCATTGAACTAAACGAACTAAAAAAAATATATACATCCTTAACCAAATTAAAAAAAAAAAAAAAAAAACATTGTGTATATTTGGTATAGTCTATATATCCTTAATAAGAAAACAAAATCAAACACCAAATTATTCATACTCTAATCGGCAAAGTCGATTATTTGATACCCTACACCACTTTTTATTTTTGAAAAAAAAGAAGAGCAAAATCAATAATAAATAATAACTAGGGAACTTTTCCTGAACAATCCTTGATCTTCTATGTGCTAATAGTTTTTTAGTAATTTTAAATTATTCTATAAATATGCATGATTTTTGGCCTAGGTAATCCTTAAAAAAATTTCAATATATAGAATCTATAGTTCTCCAATGAACAGTATACGAATTATGTTTTCTTCCCTAAAGAAAATTAAATTTTAGTTCGGAAGTCTGGCAAAAAATGCTAAAACTGCGGCTCTGATAGATCTTCATAAATACTAAATCTAGTGTACAGTATTGCCTTAATGATACTTAACAAGTAAAAAGCTGTAAGTTCGGCCGGGCCGAACTTTGAATACCATTTGGTACAAATTTGGCAATTTTCAAAAAATTAAAATCTATTAAAAAATTTGTTAAAATACCAAATGTAGCCGTATATTAGGGTATATGCGACGACGTGGACCTACATGCGCAACTTTTGTCATAAGCCTGCACAGATAATTATCTGGCAAAGGCTTTAGTATCCATTATGAACTTCAAATATAAAATTTGAAATAATTCCGGTAAATGTCGCTAAAATCATCAAAATACTGAATATCAGGGGGTTATACGAAGACGTGGACCTGCACAGCCAATTATCTGTCATAGGCTGTAGTATTCGTTACGAACTTTAAATACTAAATTGGAAATAGTTCCGGTAAATAATGTCGCTAAGACCATCAGAATACCGAATATTGGGGAACCGTTATTTGCGGGCTATATGAAGACGTGGATCTGCACACACAATTTTCTGTCTTAGGTTGTAGTATTCATTACGAACTTCAAATACCAAATTTGAAACAATTGCGGTGAAAAATGTCGCTAAAATCATAGAAATACCGAATATCGGGAGGTACCGTTATATGGAGGCTATACGAAGATGTGGACCTACATGACTCATTTTCAATACCAAAAGTCCTGCAGACATAATACACATTTGAGTAAATTTTTATCAACTTACTTCATTTCGTTCGGAAGCTAGAGTGATTTCCACAGACGGACAGATGGACAGACGGACGGACATTGTTAAATCGACATAGAATTTTATGCTGATCAAGAATATATATACTTTTTGGGGTCTAAAATGTATATTTCGAGGTATTACAAACGGAATGACAAACTTAATATACCTTCCATACTATGGTAGAGGGTATACAAAGGCTATATAAATATTCTTAAAAAAACAAAAATTTAGTTCATAAAGTTCTTCAAAAATTAAAATTTTATGGCTGTGGTAGCCCATTTCGAAATCTAAATTTTAAACCTTTTACTCCTTTATGAATACTATTGAAGTAACTATAATTTCCTTGCTATTCCTCCAAAAATACCATTTAAATCCTAAATTAAGTCTGCACAGTCCACCGAAAATTTTTAAAAATTATTGTCCTGTCCACAAAGATTTTTCCTGGAAGTCTTTTAAAAAATTAAAAAAAATACAAAAAAAAAGAAAAACGGTATCAGCCCCCAGCCTTGTGTATGTGTGTACCTGATGGAGTTGACCGATATTGTCAATTTTCACACCTGACCTAGCGCTGACAACAAATAAAGTTTGCAAAGTTGGAGCAAAATCGTATTATCGTTTCCCTTTCAGTGCAAAAAATATATTTTTTGAAAATTTCGACCTTTTGTGGGGGAGGTACCAGAAAGAGTGGACCGATATAGATAGGCAGACAGAAGGACGGACATCGCTAGATCGACTCCAAATGTTCTGAAACGGATTTGGTCCAACCTAGGGTCTAAAACCGATATTTCAACTAGGCAATATTTGACCGTATCAAATGATATATACCCTCTGTAGCCATATGACTGAGGGTATAAAAAGGAAAGGTAGCTCTTCTGTTTTGCTATCCACCATTATTTATCTAAGAGCACTTGAAATAACATCAAAGAAATTTAAATATTTTTGACAGTGATAGTCCTTCCAGAAAGTCGCAAAATTTTGCTTTTTTGAAAATTTTAGCGCTTATAGTATATTAAAACGCTATTTTTATGCTGTTTTTTTGAAAATTCTCAACATTTTTGCTTCGAAATTAATACTTACAATTTTTTTCTTTAATAGTTCTAAAGTATTGTAAACCTGTAATCCTTCAAAAATGAAATATCCAGGACTTATGTTTTGAGATACCAATATTTCCAATGAAAAGAAAAATAGTATCAGCTCCCCAGCCTTGTGTATGATTATTGAAACTGTCGACCCTTTATGGGGCACGTTCCGAAGCAGTTGGACAATATTGCCCAATTCGCGTCTGACCTAAGACTGATATAAATATTCCAACGTGCCAGATTTGGAATATATCGATTACTTCCTATACTTTATATGAGATATGGGCAAATTTTAGGGAAAATGTTGAAATATGCGTGAGGTAACATATATAGCGGACCGAAGTATTCCATTTTCACACTTTATCTAATAAAAATAAAAATATTGGTATGTGCAGATTTTAATCGAAATCGAACATTTATATCCAATTTATGGGCAATGAAAAATTCCATATTCATCTCAGGATTCTGGTTAAGAGACATATATTTAGACATAGCAAGTTGTACATAATCGCTGAGTTGTTTCACAATTTATGACAGATAATTGTGACCCTTTGTGTTTGAGGTACCAGAAGGGGTTCGCAGATATATAGCATTTTCACAACAGATCTTGTGTTAACAAAAGTGTTTGTATGTGTGAGATTTAAAGAAAGTGAGATACTTATTTCGTTTTTTTAGCGTTTTGCATTTTTTTTTTCAAAATCTTGAACCCTGTGTGGTGCAGGTAGCAAACGAAATGGTCCGATCTCTATCATCTTTATAACTGATCTTGTGTTGATGAAATACTGGATGTACAAAGTCTGGAATGTATTCGGATGTTGATTTTGTTTTTTATGAGCTTCATGGATATTCAACATTTTGAGCCTTTGTGGGGGAGGTACCAAAAGGAGAGGACCGATATTGTCCATTTTCAAACCAGACCTAGCACTAAAGTAAATATTCGGATTTTCAAAGTTGCAGCAAAATCGGATTATCGTTTCTCTTTCTTTGCAAAAAATATATTTTTTTTTGAAAATTCCGACCATCTTAACACCAGACCTTGGGTTAGTATAAATATTGTTATGTGTGAAATTTGAAGAAAAAGTTGTAATTATTTAAAATTTTGACCCTTTGTGGGGGAGGTACCAGAAGGAGTGGACCGATATTTTCAATTTTCACACCTGACCTAGCACTGACGCAAATATTAGGATTTGCAAAGTTGGAGCGAAATCGTATTATCGTTTCCCTTTCTGTGCAAAAAATATATTTTTTGAAAATTTCGACCTTTTGTGGGGGAGGTACCAGACAGAGTGGACCGATATAGCCCGAACATGATCTAAGTTTGACAAAAATATTACAATGTACCAAGTTTGGATCAAATCGGATACTCCCTTCGAAAGTTATCGTGTGCACCAGCCAGACAGGCAGACAGAAGGACGGACATCGCTAGATCGACTCCAAATATTCTGAAACGGATTTGGTCCAAAGATACCTAGGGTCTAAAACCGATATTTCAACTAGGCAATATTTGACCGTATCAAATGATATATACCCTCTGACTGAGGATATAAAAAGGAAGGGTAGCTCTTCTGTTTTAATATCCACCATTATTTATCTAAGAGTCCTTGAAATAACATCAACGAAATTGAAATATTTTTGACTGTGATAGTCCTTCCAGAAAGTCGGAAATTTTGTTTTGTTGAACTTCGAAGAATACCAATTTCAAATTTTAGCGCTTATAGTATTTTAAAATGCTGTTTATATGGTATGTTCAGACCCTGGCAGTTTTTTTTTTTTTGAAAATTTTCAACATTTTTGCTTCGAAATTAATACTCACAAATTTTTGCTTTAATAGTTCTAAAGTATTGTAAACCTGTAGTCCTTCAAAAATAAAATATCCAGGATTTCTGTTTTGAGATACCTTTAAAAAAGCGAAATTTAGTTTTCCAAAGTTGTTTCCAAAAAAAAAAAAAAAAAAAAAAAAACAAAAATAATAATAATAATAATAATAATAATAATAATAATAATAATAATAATAATAATAATAATAATAATAATAATAATAATAATAATAATAATAATAATAATAATAATAATAATAATAATAATAATAATAATAATAATAATAATAATAATAATAATAATAATTTCAGTATCCAGTAATTATTGTAACCCCTATATATGTTCTTCTCGTTTT